TCACACCTAATGTTATACCAGTAATAGGCAAAAAAAAAGCATTTCCCCCTTTTAGCCACTAGATACCCTAGATGTGTGGAGTTCAAATTCTCCCTCTGCAGGATATTACTTAGGGTCTCCCATTTCTCAGAATAATGCCATAATATTTGAGAAACACAGCCCTCTGGCATGCATCATGCTCAGTCATCTTGTTGGAGCTACTCCCTTTGCTTAAATAAGTAAATATTTATTGGGGCCATATCAGAACCATTTTTGGGCAAGTAGTCAAGGCAATTGCCTATAGTCCCAAACCATGGGACTATATGAGGTTAAGTTATGCAGGTTGCTTGGCATTCAGGTGGAGAAAAAGGAGAGAAGCACTTACCCTGTGTATAACTCTCTACCAGTCTAATGCTAGTCCTGGGTGTGAGAAATGCTCAGTCATTAGGTCAAATAGCTGGGCTATAGAAGAGTCAAGTTTCAGTTCCTATTCCTCTTCTTCCTCTGAGTAGGAACTGACCTTGCTTACATGCCTAACTGAAGAATAGGGTTTGTGCCTATGAATACTAAGCAGATGTAAGTGCTTCCCTCCAGTGCAGAGTTAGGCATCAAAGTCCTCATAAAGGGTAGGGCAAAGGCACAGCCCTCCTCCTTGGTGTTCCCTAGTAGCTGGTTTAGATGGCTCAGCCTGTTTTTATTAATCCCTTTCTTTAGGTACCTAACTTTCCCTAGACAGTCTGTATGTCTTGCTGGGGACTGTATGCTCCACCTAGCACAAGGGTCCCTAAAAGTTAAGGGCTGCCATGCTGAGCATGACTTTACCTCATAGTGGGTGCACCTACAGAGATACTGCAGAGTAGACTAATTAGCTCTGCAGTAAAGCATCATTGTCTACACATGCACTGGAGTTAGGGAGCAGTAAATTAAATAACTCCACTGTACTATCTTACGGCAGAGTAACTAAGTGCTAAAATGCACATGTAGATGGTGATGGGCTAGCTGCAGCATGAGGGTGCTAAAGTGTGGGGGCTGCCTGCTGTCTCACCACACGGCTCCACACTTTAGCACCCTCATGCCCCAGGCAGCCTCACCACTACCCAACACTGCTCCCCAGAGCCCAAGTCTGACCCCCCTGAATACTCCTTCCCAGCCCAGGGATGCTCCACTCCAGCTCAAATAGCTGCTATCCTAGGCACATGTGTAGACACTGCACCCAGGACCAGTTTCCTCTGGTTCAAGTGGCTCCAGAGTTTTTTGTTTCATATTAATTGCACATGTAGCTGCACCCAGTGATGTCAGAGTACACCCATGCTATATATATAGAAGAAGATATATATTTTCCCTATGGATAAAAAAAATACAGCATCATTAAGCATCCTGGGGTGTTTAATCTTTAATCTGCTGAATCCCCATGTCACCTCATCATTTATTCTCATTTCATCTTCATTCAAATAGCTATGTGTGATGCCAAATCTCTTAGTTTCCTGTAATATATTTTACCATATAAGTGGCACTTTGATAGAAGAGTATTTGTCCTTCAGGTATCTAGCTGCTTCTGGTTTGGGATTTTATACTGGGATGTGTGTTTCCCATTTAGGAGCACTGAACTAATTTTCTTTGATGTGAAAGATAGATGCATTTGGAGGCTTAAATCACTGCTATGATTGGTGCACAGGACTGTGGTTAAGGTGAAAATTTCATTGGCTGTGGATGCCTTATCCACCCCTATAATTGGACAAGTGTGACAGGATTTTCTTTTTCTTCCTGAGATAACATTAAGATGGGTGGGTAAAATGCAAATCTCCATGTCAATGTGCCCTGAAGATCACTGCATTTCCTGGATATTTAAAAGTAATTTTGCCTGCCACCTCCTACCTCATAATAACACTATCTGAATCCTGGTATAATTACTGAGAAATGCACTTCATGACATGTCTTATTTCTTAATTGCAGTTGGTGAGATTAGTTATTTTGTGCTTATTATGATCAGATGCATGTTCTTTCATGGTAACCTTCCAGCAATTCAGCTGAAAACAAAGGGAAATGTATGATGATCATTTACCACTGTGATACTTTTCTTGAAAATTTTGTAATTAACTGCCATTGTCAGTGTACATTCTATTTAAGGCTAGTCCCCTGAATAAAGTAGGCAAGTAGTAAAACCTTACTTGATAGCATCCTATAAAGCTAAACAGTGAATATTTAAGTTATAAATTAATGCCCTTGCAGTCCTCAATTTTAATTTACTGTCTTCATATCTTTATACAAATTTATTCATCTCACTGTTCATACAAATTCCTCTTTTTATCCCTTAGAATGCTATGTTGTGGTCTGCAAAGCAGTGAGCATGTTAAAGAGAAACAAAATAAGGTTGATAAATAAAAAGACAGAAAGCATATTGCTTTGAAGAAGAAATTCAATCTATTTGTGATATCTTATTTGAGATACCATCATTCATAAAAGCTTGAAAGTTCTGGATGCCAAAAATAAATTATCTAGCTGACTTTCTATCTTTAAGTAAACAAACCTGAAATTGGGTTAGATAACATTTTAGGAATGTTTTCAAATATTCTCTGTAAAGTGCACCCATCTTTTAAGTCCAAAACACAGTGAATGATTGGGATATATCATCAAATTCATAACCAGTGGAGGTCATACTGGGCTATCAAAAAACATTGGACTGAATTTTGCCTGTTTGGACCCAGGAGAAAAGCAACAGATAGAGGAAGATAGGACAGGGAAAAAATTCTCTGCTCAAGTTTTATCTCCATGAAAACCTGATAATAGGTCCATTTCCTCAGTCTTCTACAAGTTTCACGAAACCATAGATTCATAGATGCAATGTTGGAGGGGACATGAGCAGATCATCAAGTCTGACCCCCTGCCCTAGGCAGGAAAGAATACTGGGCTCATATGACCCCCACTAAGTTAAGTTCATGTGACCCCAGTTAGGTAGTTATCAAGCCTCATTTAAAGACCCCTAAGGTAGGAGCGAGCACCACTTCCCTTGGAAGCTGGTTCCACATCCTGGCTGCCCTGACTGTGAAGTAGCGCCTCCTGATGTATAGCCTGAACCTACTCTCAATCAACTTGTGGCCATTATTCCTTGTTACTCCGGAAGGCGCTCAGGGGAACAGGGTCTCACCCATTCCCCTCTGGTCCCCCTTGGTAAGTTTATAGATGGCCACTATGTCCCCTCTCAGCCTTCTCTTGTGGAGGCTGAACAGGTCCAGGTCCCTTAGCCTCTCCTTGTAGGGCCTGCCCTGCTGCCCCTTGATCATGCGAGTGGCCAGGATTAGACCTTAAAATGTGGCCCACATCTTTAAGGAATAAGGTTCTATAACCCAGTCACATCTTTGAAAAAGTTTATTTACTGTATTTACTTGAATAGAAGATGCCCCCCAATTATAAAATGACCCCCCCGCCCCATAATTAGATTCTATATATGGAAAAATTATAAATGTATTATAATTTTCCAGGTATAGAATCTAGTTATTGGAATTTTGCCTTGAATTTGTCCCCCTTAAACTGCTACAGCAGGGAAAATAAAATCTTGGAGATCAAGTAGCCTCTTTGCTCTCTGCTTTCCACCAACTTTTGCCTTTGGCAACCCTTTCCCCCTCTTTTTACTGTCAAACCATGCGCTCCCTGAGCAAGTGGAAGTGAAGAGCATATTCAAAACATTAACTCATAGACTAGTATCATACACTAATATCTATGGTGCTAGTCATTGAGATACATAGATATTAGTCCAAAACCAAAGGCTTGTGATTTGTCATATAGTTCAATGAGCTGGGCCCCTGCAGAGTCAACAGGATTTCAAGCTACAGTGACTGTATGTATGTATACTCCAGTATGTGTCTGTACTCCAGATATGCCCCCACAAAGGATCCATGTACTAATTAGCCCCCCACTCATGCCTGGAGTGTTTTTGTTACAAGTCCTGGGAGCCTCCAAAACATTATATGCAGCTGAAGTACAGGGCAACGTGGTACAGCTTCACATCATGAAGGGCAGAACCACACTAATCACATGCTGCAGGCTGAGAGAGGGGGCAACAGAGGGATCCTGGGTGGCACGTTTGGGCCCCATTTTGTGATGTTTGCTAGGCTGGTGCAGAAAAGGGAATCACTGGAAATGGGAAAGAAAGGCACAGCTCAGCTATGAAAAGGAAGTAAAAATGTAATCAGTGCAGTGGTACACCATGACTTGATAAAATGTCAGCAGTGCAGGGGACTGCGTTTAATGGACCCTATGACATATCAAATTCAGATGGGCTGTACTAATCTGTCCTTGTGGTAGCTTCCCATCAGCATGTTTGCCCAATTTTGGCCATATGTTTTATAGTCATGCTTAGTGTTGGTTGCATTTAATCAACTTCATAGTCAGTTTCTATTACTGAGCACATGCTGCTTTTGGCAGCAGTTTAATGATAAACGGTGTTTTTAATGAGATTTCCTTTCATGCAATTATAAGACAAGGGGCTGTTTCCCCTATGCCAATTAGGGAAAAAACCTCATCTTGTATTTGAATATATATGGTACATATTATACTCCTGCTCACATTGGGGATACTTTGTTGGGGGTGGTTGTAGCTGGCCAGAATGTGGAGGGACCACTAGTACTGTCTTTCTAGCATAATTGTAATTTTTCTATATTTTGGGTGAAAAGCACATGTTCTGTACACATGAAAAGCATGATATTTCATGAGGTAAAAAAAAAAGGAAATATACAGTCCAACATAGAAGTACTATTTTGTAAATTATGTGTATTTCAGTGGGAAGCTCCTTGAGGTAATTGTCTAGATGCAGACAAAGCTGGAGCTGTAGAACTCACAAAAAGGCATGCTCCCAAGTTAGCAATCCAAGTATCGAATGTGCCAAAGTAATTCCTTACAAATCTAGTTTAGTTATGTAATAGTTATTAGGGGAAATACAAGACTTGAACTTCCAAACAGATACTGCCACATCCACTAATGTACAGCTATTGTAAAGCTTCTAAACAGTTTTGTTTTCCTTTCAGATCAGCATCTTCATGACACATTTGTCCAACTATGGGAATGACCGCCTAGGGTTATACACCTTTGTGAATCTGGCCAACTTTGTTAAAAGTTGGACTAACTTAAAACTACAGACTCTACCTCCAGTTCAGCTGGCTCACAAATACTTTGAACTCTTTCCTGAACAAAAGGACCCTCTCTGGCAGGTAATACACGGTCAGAGTAATCCCAGTCATAATTCTTAAATTACAGGAGAATCCTAATTTAATTTTTTCTTAAGAAAATAATGATTATGACATTAAAAAAGAAGACAGTTTGTTTTAAATGCCTTTAGGTTCACTTAATTGTCTACATAAACAACAGTTTTTGACTAAGAATAGATTTACAAATATAGATAAATCAGGCCACCTGGCTTTATTCAACCAAATACCAGTCATATTGAGAGCAGCTGAATGCTATTTGTCTAGGAAAAAGATTTCCTTCCCTCCTCTCTTTTATTTTCTTGATGCATCACATTGTATTAACCTATGATACATAATCAATAAGATCAATACAGACACCAGATAGTGAGATCTACCACAAGGCAGACAATGCAGATTCATTGCATCCATTAATATGGAATCACTTGCATTATGTCACCATATCTGTTATAAGGAATCCCAGAGACCATATTTACCTTCAATGAAACAACAACGGGCCTGTACAGGAGAAACACTCATCATGAACTGTTAAATTCTGAAAAGAGGAAACGTATCTCTATAACCCATAAACCACAAATTTTCACACCTTTTCAGGCATGTATCAGCATTGACCATACTGCCAATATTGAAGTGTCCAGAACATGATTATGTATTCACCATTTTCTCCTTTTCAGACCATGTTGTACTGATGTGTGATCTCAGATACATAACATAAGCTTAACTCCATGGAAACCTGTTTAGCAAATTCGGTTTTAACTTTGTGTCATGAAAGAGAAATTTCTTTGGGCAAGATGTAAAAACTAGTGAACTTCGTGGTGCTTCTATTCATTGAAGTAGAACTACATTGATTTGTGCTAAAGGTTTTGTCCTGATGTATTTTGTTAACTTGATTCAATAGAACATATGCCCAGTCATTACTTCTAGGTGTATGGGATTTTTTACTATGGGCAGAGGGATGAGTATTTATGGAAGTACAGGGGGGAGCTGGAGCATTTTGCTTGACTAGCATTATAGTGGGCATGTCTATAAGAGACGCTATGTTGATATAGCTTGTTGCTACAGCGACATAGCATTGGCGGGCATGAAGTGTAACACTGCCGCTACTGTGCAGTAGCAATGAGTTTAAAGCTAACACAGGCACTAAATGGAGCATGTGTAGATACACCTAATGATTATGAAATGTGTTCAACTGACAGACCTTGAGAATATCATGTTTCACTTTAGACAGAACACCAGATGAAGCAATGTGAACAGCACTGCTAGATATAATTCTTGATTTTGGCAAATTTCCTCCAAGGATGAGAAAGTATTTCATTTTCTTTGCCCCAGAGAAAAGATCTCCAATAAGAGTGCTAACTATGGCCTATTTTACAGGCCATGGACATTTATTCTTTTCTACTGCTACAAATTCCCCACAGACTGGAGTCCTTCCTCCTCCTCTCCCTTCTCACCCTCTCTGGGAAAGTTATGGGGGTGTTTCCTTGCAGCTGGACTCCTGTATGATGTTGAACAGATAAAGATATACTGTAGTTCAGCTGAAAGCTATGAGCATGATATAGGAACCATTTGGTCAAATTCTGTGTCCTGTATTATGTGCAAGGTCACAGTAGATAATTACCCTATGAATACATATGAATATATATAGAGAGAGAGAGAAAGAAATGTAGTAGTTGATCCTATAAAGTTTTAAACAATTGCTTGACTTTATTGACCACTCTAGGGATCAGTCTTGCAAGCTATAGTGTATTTTTGCCCTAGTGTGGTGAGTCATTCAAGTGCAAGCCAAACTTACTTAAGTGCCTCAGTGAATTAATGCCAGAGTGCTCAATATCTTACAGGCCTGGATTCTTAAGAAGAAATTTGGAGGTTGTTGTTATTGACTCCAAAGAGACTCACATTTCACAACTGCTGTGTAACTTTGCAAGATCAAGACACTTGAAATATTCTCCAATATGACAAAAATAACTTTCTTTTCTTCCTCAGAATCCATGTGATGATAAGCGACACAGGGATATCTGGTCAAGAGATAAAACTTGTGACCATCTACCAAAATTTCTTGTGATAGGACCCCAGAAAACTGGTGAGAAGATGGTGAATTTAAATTACTTGAATAAAGAATGTGATCCTAAAGAAAGTGTATCCTTACCTTTCAGTGCTACACTTACATATTTAGTACAGAGCATGGTGAAGCAGATTCAATTATACAGAGGTGCTATATTCTGAATGGGAAAGGAAAGCTATAATTAACTCTTCTGTTGCTTATGGTATGGAGCAAACTGATTTGCAAAACATAGGAACTTTCTTCCAGAACCATCTGGTACTTTTAGAATACAGCCCAGATTGTTGTCATGGTTTTTCCATCAGAAGGACCAGGAGTTTCCCAACATAGCCTGTTTTCAGTTGCTTGTTCAGATTTAAGGGGCCTGAATAGATTCAACAACATGTCTGAATTGGAAGGGCTCAAGAGGTTCAAATAGATTTTTTTTTTAAGTTATTTTCTCTTAAACATTTTAAAGGAAGCTTTTTTTCCAACTTTGGTTTATTTTGATTTTTTTTCCTGCCTAGAATTTTGACATAACTTCCTTTTTGTGAGTTCTACTGTTTCTATTATTGTTCTCAGGCCTAATTTCAGTGCAGTTATAGGAAATCAGGATAAAGTTCACTCCTGTGTCAAAAGGCTAATGCCCTGTTTTAAGGAGACCTTTAAGTATCACAGTCTTTTCTTTGGCACTCTGTATAGAGGTAAATTTTATTCACAGTGAATGTGAATTATTTCATTCCACAACAATGAAAACAATGCAATTAGACACTGGAAATGAAATAGAGACAATTAACAAAACTTAGTGTGCACCTATGTCAGGGCTGATTTTGTGCTGATTAATTTCTCAGATGTTGAAGTAGAATCATCTATGATGGCAATAGAGAGTTAAGTATTTCACTGATGACATGATGCCTTCAATTAGAGCATTTAATACTTTCTACTGTCTATACTGATTTCTTTTGTTAAGTGTATTGAGAGCTAAAGATGAGAAGCATTAAATAAGATTAAGTAGTAGTGGTACATTACAATTTGTATATGCTTAGTTCAGATACCAATTAACAAAAGTTTGTATTGTGTTTCTGGGTTCTGAAGTCAATACATTTGTAATAAGAGTGCAGTCAAGAAAGTAAATGCAGATGTTTACAATAAACAAACAGTCTGTCATGAGACCCAAAGGGAAAATTACTGTTAAGACCTCTTATCCAGTATCTTTGCTTTGTTGAATTAATTATAATTAATAATAAAATTACTTATCACTTGCCCCTTTCAGTTCAGGATCTGAAAGCACTTTGCAAACATTAATTGATTAATTAATCCTCACAATGTCCCTCTGGGATAGCCAGTATCATTATTGACTTGCTACAGAAGATAGAAAGAGGTGGTTAAATGAGTTAGTCTGAACTCAGGTAGAAAGCAGGGTATACTGGCATCTTAGGGTACATGCAGATATTACACTTAGATCGACCGTACATATGTTTGGGAAATGTAGATCAGGCAAAAATAGCCCAATCTAACTTAGTTCACATAAGGAGGTGCACTATGTACATTGGGATAACCCATTCTAATCTCACTGAAAATGTGTACATGTTTAGAGTGCATCTCTGGGGCTGGGAAAGCCCAGCCACTTGTTCCAACCTCTGAGCCATGGGGCTGTGCTTTTGTTAGCACCAGTCCCCCAACCCTGACTGAGCTATTTTTAGTTCTTTGGGCCCCCCCATTCCTGGACAGACACCACTTCTGCATGTAACCCTTGCCCCCTTCAGTCCCACCAATCCCCCTTTCAGATCCACTAGTTCTGACTTAGTTAGATTGTATTCCTAATGCAACTCTCAGCACTGACTGTGTGAGTGCAAGTGGGGACCCGATCTACAATCATGCATCTTAAAGTAAGCCATGTGATCATAGATCAGGTCCTGTGAACATGTGCACATGCCCATAGATTAATCCATCACAGAAGGGTTAACAATTACCCAAGATTATTTAGAGAGTCCATGAGAGAGTCAGTGGGTGCATCTCCATGAGATGCTTCATGCCCATTGGACTAATTCTACCACAAATTGGTGTGGCTGGCAAAAATTGTGCTAATGCAGTGATGCACAGTAGATTTAGGCCAATGCTCATTAAGCATCACACAAAAAGCATTCATCTGCACTAATGCGCAGTAGTGCCAGTTACAGCACATTAAGTTTAGTACCTATTATTACAGGTACTAAACTTAATGTGCCATAATTATGGATCATTAATGAGTGTGTACATGTGTTCACTAAGACACTGACTCATGATATCCAGGTAAATGTCCTAAACATTAGGTATTCCCTCTTGAATATATATTTTAAATATTTATAGATATAAGCCCTTTGATGTGAAGGGCAGCATATAAATCAAGCAAAGTAATAAATAATGCACCCTCTCTCACACACACACACACACACACACACACGGTGCATCTACATGTGCCCCTATGGTGCCATTGTTACAACATTACTGTGCGGTGCCAATGGCGCACAGTTATTTTTAGCCACTGCGTGGCTGTAATGATGCACTATAGCGAGGAGCATGTCACTACGGCGACGTAGCTGTGACATCACAGTTTTTGCCTGCCAATGCTATGTCACCATAGTGTGTTGCTATGGTGATGTATTGTCTTGTGTAGACACAACCATAGATATGCACACTTAACTTTTAAATATGTATATTTAAGATTATCTTTTTTTGTTGCAATTTTTCATTGATTTCTCACCAAAGTCACCATAGTTGCCATCCTAATGATGACACAGTGGGAAAAAATCTTTAATAAAGCACAAGTTTTAAATGGCATATAATCCATGAATACAAAGGTTTTTAAAGACAATCTGCTAATGCTTGTTTAAAATCAAACATCATCTTTCATCCTCTTTGTTTATTAATAATTCCTGCAAGGAGGCTATCCAAGATACACCTACTATGCTGGAAATGGATGCTGTCTCTTGGACAAGAGTTTTTATCCTGTAACATTACACAGTCCACAGAAGATAAAGCATAGATGACAAAGGGAATCTGAGAGAAATGGAAATGGAAACCATCAATAATTATTTATGAAACATTACATAAAGTATACAAGATTTTAAGATGAAATACATTACTAATGTTAGGGCCACATCATTAATGCTGTACATGTGCATGTGTGTACACACACACATATACATAAGCCATACATGTATATACACTTACATATATAGAAACTATAAAAATCAATAGAAACATCATGATGCATGCATGAGCACATTATCTGGATTTTTTAAAATGTGAATGGATTACTGACTGTAGAATAAATAGGTCTACATGCATTATGTGTTTAAACTGAATATCCCTCATGCTAATACCTGCCTTTCAGCAATAGGTATTTTTATTGTGAACATTTTTTGGTACAATTAGTCATGTATTTGTTCAGAAATACTTGCTTAAACAAAATGTTTACAATGTTTTTTATCCTACCTAACAACATCTTATAAGCTAAAGTGTCCTTTTTCTTTAGGAACAACAGCACTTTATTTATTTCTTCTCATGCATCCTTCCATCATCAGTAATCTCCCTAGTCCAAAAACGTTTGAAGAAGTTCAGTTCTTTAATGGAAACAACTACCACAAGGGAATTGACTGGTAAGAAGAATAACAAAGAAAGAAATGTTTGTTATTAGCACAGACTAAATCACATTCAAGCAATTATGGAAGTATGTTTAACACATACATAATTACCAGATAAATTTGTTAGGCTTAGCACTATCTGATGGAATGAGAAAATAGTTCATAATGATGGGACATTTAATCAACTATTACCCTTAACTTTATTTATATATTATGTAATGTTCCTAACATTTAATTAAATTAACATATGAGGGAGTCCAATTGTGATGATCTGCCTCATGTTAAGTAATACTTTCTCTGGTATGGTTTCAGTTTGACAATATTGATTTTACTTCTGCCTGTTCCTCTAACTGGACTAATTGTGAAGTCCTACTTAGCATAAGAATGTAATTATTGGCACAACCTGTCAAATGTGGACTAGTCAGAATAAAAGACACTCATTAATAAGTAACTTTAGGTTGAGTTTTTTTCCTGTGCATTTTAATACTTTTTTATTGTTTTCACTTAAAAAATTGTTTTGTAAACCTTTATGTTCCAAAAAGTTCTAGCAGTTCTGAAACTTAAATAAAGACTGATATTTAGAATGAATATCATAACACATATAACTTTTAAGTGTTAATCCAGTTAAGCTGTTTTTATTGAACAAATCCAAACATAAAAACTGAATATATTTTCTACAATATAGAAGCACAACAAAACATATAAAATCTCACTGAAAAGACAGGTTATCACCACAGTTGCATTTAACTTAAGAGACTATTCAATTATTAGGTTCAAAATGTCATGAAAACCAAGGAAGGAGTGACGCTTCATTGCATGTATTTTTTCCATACTGCATAGTGGAATGTGTGTCATGCTATTGATCTAGCAAGAGTCCTGATGCCTTTTATTAGACTGATTCGTATTGTTAGCAGCAAGTTTATTAATTCTGTGTACTTCTTGTTTATTTCTGGGACATGCAGAGATTTTAAAATAATCAAAGATAAGAGAGGTTGCAAATTTACTTTTAGTATTTTATTAACCCCAGCATACATTTTGATCCATGGTCAATACAAAGGGGTATATTCAAATAGCATACAGGATAATTAACCTACAGTGACTCCACAGAAACAAACAGAAGCTATTTCTATATTGATTTTAGATATTTTCTAAATAAAAATCCATCTTGCTCTATGCAATATAAAAAGCCAGCTCATCAGCTGTTACAAATTAGAATGGTTCTATTGATTAGCTCAAAATAAACAAAGTTGCATAGAGAGATTCAGAAGAATAAAAATAAGCTTGTCATGTTATTTTTCTGGTCTTCTTTATAGAATTTTTATGGGTGCGGGGGAAATATGATCCCTGCTCTGGACCTTTTACACTGGCTTAATGGTACAGTAGCAGCATAAATGGGCTTTAAAAGCCATAGATCCAGCCAGTGCACAATTTCCCCATTGTAGAAAGCAAGGAAGACTGTATTCAAAGGATCCTTTTGCAAACCTGGGCAAAGGGAGCATTCTGGAGGTGGATTGACAAGCAGACGGCACATGCGGAGTCTGCTCAAGCAGCACTGTGCAGGTTATGGAACATCATTGCTACACAAGCTATAATGAAAGCACCTCTCCAGGACCATTTTATTAATGCCAGGGACCTCTCCAGACCCTTGAACAGCTAAGAACTGGGAAACTACAAAGATGGCTTAAACCTTCTTCTCCTGTCCTCCCTTGAACCATGATTATTGTCCTTTAACTTTTTGGCTCTCTCTGCCACCTGAAAACCACACTCAGAAGCACTGCAGGAAAGGGCAACCATGGCCTTTGTGCATGTTACACCCTGACATGGATGTAATGTAGCTACCTTAGTGTGGACTGAATCATGCCCATAAAATAATTTTCTGCAGAAAGCTTTTTTGCCTGCTCTTGCTACTTCATTGGGGAAAAGGAGCATTTTTCATGGTGTAGCACCTGAGGACTGGAATCCATGTGTTTCACTGCAGTCTGCCTTCACATAGTACTGAGACATGCCCTTAGAGAAGCAGTCTCAATTCTCCCTCATGTCTTTAATGCATACATCCCTTTATTTCAGGTCTGGGAGGCTTTACATCCTAATTCATGTACATTTTTATTTTTAAATGCCCTTTTACAAAACATGTCCCACTTTTTCAATGAAAGATTATTATTATAATATCTAATGACCTCCTAATCACTCCTGAACATCATTAGTGATATAGACACAGGATCAAAGCTGAAAACATTCTGGATTTTCGGTTCAGTGAAAAATTAAAAAACAAATACTGGGTTTTTTTTCAGATAAGTAAAAACCCCAAACCAAAGAACTGGAGTCAACCTAACCTAAAACATTTCATTTGACATAAAGTAAAAATTTACAGTAAATGTTTTGGGGTTATTAAGTTAAAGTTAGGTCAGTTTTTAAAGAAATGCCATTTTTAAACAAAAATTGAGAACTTTCATTTAATCAGTGTCAGAACAAAATATTTTTATTTTAAAACACTGAAACAATATTTAATATTTTCAGTTTTTTCTACAGTTTTATTAGGCAAAACTATTCAATGAATCCAGTCCAAATTTGTGACTAATTTCAATTCTTCCCAAGATTCCATTTTTTCATAAAATTTACTGAAATTTTTATTTATCAACAATATTTTACTCAGCTTAAAGATATTATCTGTTAGCATTATTGTCACAAGGGCAACATCTGTCATAGCTAAAATTTTAGAATGAAACTTTTGCCCATTTTGTTTTCAATTTCTTCTGTTTTAAATTACATTTGAAGAGTAATGTTTCAACATGCCATTAAGTACAGAACATGTGCATGAAAGTTTGAGATTTTTAATGTTTTCAATTCAAATAATATTTTCCCTGTTCCCAGGTATATGGGTTTCTTTCCCAGCCCTTCCAATGTTACAACTGACTTCTTGTTTGAGAAAAGTGCCAACTATTTCCATTCAGAGGAAGCTCCCAAACGAGCAGCTTCCTTGATCCCTAAGGCCAAATTCATCACTATTCTCATTGACCCATCTGATCGGGCATATTCCTGGTATCAGGTAAGGATCTTGCCACTGAGAAATGGGCTATGAATTCAAAAGCAATAAGTGATAATGAACTTACATCCCATTCTTGTGAATTTGCAAAGAGTTTACCATTATGTCTTTGAGCAGGAGTAGAATTTACTGTAAAGTACATGCCACAATTTAGAAGCTGAATGAATATTGAATTGCAGCCTGTTCTATTCAGCACCCACTGTGATACCAGTATCATATATAATGTAACTTTTCAGCCAAATGGTTGCCTCCAGTTGCAAATAATTACTTTAATCTCAATTCCAATTGACAATGTTTATCTGGTAAACATTCTTTTTCACCCAATAATGTTTTGGTAGAATGAATAATTTCTTACTGTGAAGGGCTAATCACTTTAGGTTACCCATATATCTGACATAACTTTCAAATCTCTATTCTTTAGACAACAGTGTCAGATTGATTGGTATGCAAGTATGGCACACCATTCAAAGTTGCAAAGGAGTAAGAAAAAGATGCGTCTAGCTTAGGAGCCATGTAGCACATTAGGACATGTTAACTTCAGTTAGCATATTAGGACATTTTAACTTCATTTAAAACATGAGCATGCACACTTTCCATTAGTAAAACATGCTGGTGCTATCGTATCATAGCAAAGTTATGACTTTTCAGGGAATGGTGCCTTTGGGTTGTACTAAGCAACTTGTTCAGCTATCTTGTTCCATAGAGATAATATGAGCTCATAATTCCAGTGTGGTACAGGGACTAGGAACAACCAACAATCAGCTAATTGTTGGTCCCAAGCCCAGCATCAAACTGGAGCTGGTTCAAGACTCCCATGAGGTACTATGGCTGGAACTGACAATCACCTGATCACCAGAGCTGGCTCAAGACTGGCAACAGCAGAGACCCAGCTTACCCCATGGATCCAGTGGAAGCAGTAGCACCTTGTCCTGGGCTTGGCTTCCTGTGCCTCATTCTGCCTGCCACCAATGGCAGTGATGTGGCTCACCCCAGCATGCCAGGGGCAGGCACTCCCAGCCTGGGCTATACTCAGCATGCAGCAGGGAGGCCAGAGGCTGCTGGCATGTGGGTTGCATGTCCTCATGGGCATATCTGCAAGCTGTGGTGTTAGTGCTGGGGTCAGTGTCAGAAGGGACAGGGGCACAGCCAGCTCCTGCCATGTCTACACTGGTCTGAGATCATAGTAAGCATTACTGTGAGACTGCTCAGAACATGTTCTAATTTTTAATATGGCATGGTAATTCTTACTAGGGCTGTGTGAAGCTTCAGTCCCTGATTTGATTTGGTGGAGATCTGGTCCAATTCAGTGGCCAAATCTCTGAATCTAAATTTAATCAGAGGACCCTTTAATCTCTCCAAATTGAATCAGAACCCTCCGAATCAATTCAGAGAGATTCAAAAAGATTTGGTGATTTAGACATAGAGACAGCTTTAAATGTTTTTTCTACATATCTCTATGTAGCAGGGGCTCCTGAATGCTGTGATGCTGGGGCAGATGGAACGTCCCACAGAAGCATGGGGGGCTCCCCAGCATGCTTGGGAACAGACCCGGAAGTGGACAGAAGCACTTCTGGTCCACTTCTGAGTTCACCAAGGAGCATGCAGTGTCTGCCCCCCACCCCCCAACTCTCCCCTGGCTCAGCAACTGGTGCCTCCTGGGTCTGGGGAGGCACCTGGGGTCCCCTTGCAGCTGATCGCCAAGCTGCAGGGAGTGGGGGGGCCCCAAGCACACTCCCTGGCAGATCTGGAAATGGACTGGAAGTACTTCTGGTCCACTTCCAGGTTCACCGCCAAGGATGGGGGGGGGGCATGCTCCTGTGGGATGCTCCATGCACCCTAGCATCTCAGCATTCATGAGCTGTGCCTGCTACCTCAAAGCACATAGAACAAACTTTTAAAACTGTGTCTATGTCCAAATCGCTGATTCTTTGAATCAATGTCGAATCTTCAGATTCAGATTCAGGAACAGCGATCCTAATCAATTAATCGAATCACTGTCCCCAGTTTGTGCTGAATCTTAATTGAATAGGGCCTGTTTTGCACACCCCTAAAGCTTACTATGATCTAAACAAGACACATGCGAAGTATCCCATGTTACAAGACACTAGTCCTGAAGACTAAAGAAAACCAGTCAATTTTCCTTGTCAGTTAATTGTTCCTTATTCATTTCCTAACCATCTCTTGTCCATTATGTAATCTGTATCCTTTCATAAAGGACAAATCTGGAAAGCGATGGCTTGGCTCACACACTAACATTGTTAAAATTATGTGGAATCATACATGCAAAATTTGACAAAGGTGGACAAGTAAAGTAGTCAGTAATAATGATGTAAATCAGGCAACAGAAGTTCAAGTACACTCACATAAAGTCTGGAAATAACAATATAAAGTACAAAGTTCACTGCTGCAGTTTATACCCCTTCCTACCCTGTCACTTGCACCTTCACAGAAGGGTACACAAGGTGAAAAGCAAATGACTGGTTGCACCTACATTGGCAAATGCCATGTCCACATCACAGCTGCTATCACAGCTATCAAAAACATCAGCATGGTATATATCAGGATGATGTATGCATCATTAGGACATAAAGAGATATTTTGGAATAGACAAAGAATTGCCACTACCACTGTTAGGGAAAGGAGAGTAAAGAGAAACATTTGAAAATGGACTGTCCATTGTATAACATGAACTGTATTAGTTGAGTCATGGTAAAGCTATTAATTTCCTAATAGTTCAGTGTTTGGGAGTTTAACCCACTATAGAATTATTTGTTCACTTTTTACTCAATTACCTTTTAATGTTTCTACTTATGGTTAATGTTATCTACCTTTATTGTATTAGCATCAACGATTTCATGAGGATCCCACTGCTCTGAAGTTCAATTTTTATGAAGTCATTACCTCAGACCATTGGGCTCCCTCAGAATTGAGAACTCTCCAGAAGAGATGTTTGACCCCTGGATGGTATGCTACTCATATAGAAAGATGGCTAACTCACTTTGCCACTTCACAGGTAATTCCTATCTGATGATTTCACCAAGATCACTTGGTTTTGGAAGCCACAACCTGAAATCTCAACATGTGACGTTACCATATATGATTTTGTGATTTGAGCTATTTGGAAATTATCCAAAGCAAAGTTTCCTTTTTGTTAGAAAATGTAAATCTACCAAAAATCAAAATGTTTGCTGGAAACATGGTGATGTTAGGCCCTCTGACACAAACCAAGGAGGCTTGGTAAACTGCTTGGCTTTTTGCAGTCTTGTCCAGTTTGTGGGTTGTCGCAGAATCTTCTTCCATGTTCCCTGTAGAAATGCTTTTAGGATTTCCCATATCCCAGCCATGCTGTCTAGATCCTGACTGTCCTGGAAGTTATTGAAATCCAGACTTGTGCCAGAACTTTTAGGGGCACTTGACTTCCTGCTGTGCATCAGGTAGCCTAGGAATACTGGAAACCTTGATTTGATGTTAAAGCTACCAGGCTTCTTCTGGGATGAGATAGGTATTACCATGGTTTGTCAGCTCTAAACTTTTTAGTAACCCATTGGACTTGAGAAGCCTTTAGAACCTCACTTTTTAAATGAGAATTTTGAACACCCCTGTTCCCTCAGAAATTTAAAACTTGCTGATGCAGCACTTTTAAAACAATCTTGTAAAATAAATTAAAACCCATCTTTGATATTTTTAATAATTGCATTGAGAAATTTTCCAAGAAAACTCTATATGCCCATGAATCTACAGACAAATCATTGTAAGATAAGCTACCTATTTTTAGCTACAGAAGTTCAGAACATATTAATTCACTACATACCTCTAGCTACTTCTTACTAGTATGTTTTCCAAATCATTCTGCCTGTACAAGGAAACAAGGATGTGCAAAGCAAATGGAGTGTTATAAATAACCTGTCAGTCTGGGCCAGGACTTATGGAGACCATGGTGAAACTAGTCAGGGCAGAATTTGCTTGCTTACTCTAGAAAACTAAAGAGACCAATAAGTTCTGTCTCTGTCCACAACTGGGCCTTCCATATCATCCCACACTGGCCTTGATTCACAACTACTCCTGTCCTACAACTGAAATAGCTCTTGTAAGATGTCAGATGTGTTTGCAAACTGGGAGACTCAGGTTAGGAAGAACACTGTACAGCAAATTATTGTTTTGTTTTGTTTTCAATATTTGGTCTACCTGTGGGAGAGGAAGACCAGATTGGCCCTTGAGTTTCATAATTTGCTTGAGATGCTAGGACCCAGTAGACCAAGGGATCTCAATTTGTCCCATTCGTTCATAAGTCTGGGCCCTTTCCTAAGATGTGTTAAGGTTTCTCTTTCCCTTCTGCAGTAGTTAATTTTAACACAGGGAAAAATAATAACAATAATAATAGCACAGACCCTGTTATTAAACATGCAGGTCTAATGTACCTTGACATATTTCTTGTAAAACTGGCTATTGCTCATGTGACATAGTTGTAGTGATTAAGTTTACAAGATACAAAGTGCACTTATTCTTAATAACATACACTGAGAAAGTGCACTCATTACACTTGCTAATGTGTACTCAGCAATGTGCTCTCATTCTTAATACCATGCACTCAAAATGTTAATAATTTATAATCAGACCTCACAATAAATATAGAAAACATCCATCCAAGCCAGCTAGTATCAGTGTAACACTTTGCGCTGTCCTTATAGCTTTCATATGTATATATAACAGCCAGAGGATACATCTACATGTGTGCTTTACTGTGGAGTAGACTAATTAACTCCGCAATAAAGTGTCACTGTCTACATGTGCTCTACTATTAGGGCACAGTAAACCAATTAACTCTGCCACAAGATACTACTGTTGGAGACGGTACTATCTTATGGCTGAGTCATTTACTGTGACCTAATACTCATGTAGACAGTAACCACATGGGGAAATTTAGCCTGGTCAGCCCAGGCAACTGGGGGCCAGACCCCTACCTACTACCTAGCCACATGGCTCCACATATTTGGCATTCTCATGTCCCAGCCAGCCCCTCCCCTGCCAGACACCACCACCCAAAGCCTGGAGCTGACCCCCCTGAGGTTGCTGCCAACATGGGCCTGCTCTATCCTGGCTCAAATTATTACTGTGCCAGGCACCCATGCAGATGCTGTGCCAAGGAGCAGTGCATTCCAACTCAAAGTGGTCTGAAGTTTATTGCTTCGCATTAATTGCTTGTGTACAAGCACCCAGTGGCAGGGAAAGCCACTTAGCTTGTTTCATAGTTTCATAGTTTCTAGGGTCGGAAGGGACGTGAGCAGATCATCTAGTCCGACCCCCTGCCATGGCAGGAAAGACTACTGGGGTCAAATGACCCCAGCAAGGTGTTCATCTAACCTCCTCTTAAAAACCCCCAGGGTAGGAGCCTGCACCACCTCTCTTGGAAGTTGGTTCCAGACCTTAGCCGCCCTGACCGTGAAATAGTGCCTCCTGATGTCTAACTTAAACCTACCCTTTGCCAGCTTGTGACCGTTATTCCTGGTCACTCCTGGCTGTGCTCGGGGGAACAGTGACTCCCCCAATGCCTGCTGATCCCCCCTGACTAGTTTATAACAGGCCACAAGATCCCCCCTCAGCCTTCTCTTGTGG